CCACTCCATTGAGTGTCCTCATGTGGGCAGCTGGCCTCCCCCAGAGTGAGTGATCCAAGAGGGAAGAGCCAGACAAGAGCTATCCTTTCAGCATCTGGCTTTGGAAATTCCGGTTCAGCCATGTTACAGTCCTTAGAAGCGAGTCCCCATGCCTGGCCTGCGTTGCAGGGGTGGAGCACGAGAGAGAGAGAGAGAGGGGTCGGCGACAACATCAAGGTCTTTGGCCAGAGCACCTGGAAACACAGAGCCACCGTCAGCTCGGAGAGGACGCCTGTGGAGGTGCACGTTGGGGCGGAGGTGAGTTTCACTGGCTGCATTTTCCTGAAGTGCCTCTTACACATCGGATGTAGAGACGGAGGCGCTTCCTTGAAGTCTGTTGGTTGCCCACTTCTGTTCTTTATTTGCTTTCCTGGGGGCCTTAGCCATCTGTTTTCAGACCCCTTTGTCCCAGCTCTTGGTGGGGCTCTGCTGTCACACAGCCTGGATCCAGACCCTGCAGCCAGGAGCCCCCATGGCTACAGGTGGTCACATGGCCCTGCCTTGTCCTGTGTAGAGTCAGCCCACGCCTGCCCGGCAGCAAGTCTAAGCAGGGCTGGCCTGACCCGGGTCTCTGAACCCAGTGCCCAGTGGAAACTCCACACCATGATCCCCTACGAGCATCTCTCAGCAGGTGTGTACGGAGTGCCAACTACCTGAGCTGTGAACAAGCCGAGTCCACCTTAGTCCCAGTGCAGGGCGGGCAGTCAGACAACAGACAAGTAAACAGATTAATAAATATGAGCCAGCAGAAGGTGCTGCGGAGGAAGATAAAGCAAGCAAGGGAAGAAGGGAAGCAGCAGCCCCACCAAGCACGGGGTGACCAGACAGTGATGACGCGTGACTTGGGGGTTGCCCCCCCTCCACTTCCCAGTAAGTGAGGGACACCGAAGCTCCGATGCCTTAGGCCTGGGAAGGGAAGTCCCCACCTCTCCGCCCTCAGCATCCACGCCTCTCTACCCCGCAGCTCAGCTGGCCTCTCTGAGCCTCAGTCTCCTTGCCTGTAAAATGAGGACGTAAGACGGTTCCCAGAGGCTTCACCACAGCTCTGTCCACAGAGGACCTCACTGACCAGGGAGTACGGTGAGTACAGGCTGGATGTGCAGAACACTGAGTGAAGGGGGTGGAGCTGCAGGGGGAGGGGCAGCCTGGGCACTTCCACCAGTTGGATGGAGGCTGGGATGGCCCCATTTAGGCACTCCCAGAGACTGCAGGCATCATTTCCCCTCCAATGCCTCTCCACATGGTTGCCAGATTCCAATTCCCAAAGATCTAGTCACTCTCCCACTCAGAAGCCTTCCATGGCTCCCAGGTACTCACAGGACAATAGGGCCAAACCCACCTTTCTGTCCCAGTTGAAATCCAGCCCCTTCTCCAGGGTGCCCCCAAATACCTCCTCCTCCAGGCAGCTTTACATGCCTGCATCCTCTCTAGGACCCCAGCTCTTATTTTCCCTCCCCTGAGGCCCAACGCTTTCTGTCTGAGACCCACCGCGTACTCTGTCCTGGTTTTGTCTCACCTGGAGCTAGGCATTTGCTTTTCTCTCTGACTCAGCTCCAGCCTGAGGCAAGACCAGACATATTTTCTTCCTTTTCTTTTTTTTAAAAAGGTGACGTATTTCTGATATTAACAGAAATTAATACACATCGGTAAAATACAGAAAAACATGAGGCAGAACATGAGACCACCAATCATCCTTATGCCTGGAGGTGACCACATTCCCATTTTGCCATGCCGTGTTTCCTTCCAGACTTTTCCATATGGATTTTTTTTTAATGTGGGATTGTACTAGACACATTGATTTGTAAAGTGTGTTATTTCATATAATAGATGATGCATCTCTGAGGTACAATTTCTTTTGTGAACATGTCAAAATCTTTACCAGTTCCTAAACCACCTCTTCAGTAACAGGCTGTATTTTTTTTTTATTTTTAGGGTTTTTTTGGGGGGTGGTAATTAGGTTTGTTTGTTTATTTATTTATTTTAATGGAGGTACTGGGGATTGAACCCAGGACCTCACACATGCTAAGCTCACACTCTACCACTGAGCTCCACCCTCCTCCCCAATAACAGGCTCTGGGTTTACAGACCACCTACTGTGCACCAGGCACCAAGCTGAGGGCTTCCTGTGCTTTCATCCTCACAGCAACCCTTGCGAGGTGGGAAACTTCACAAAGAGTGGGACAGGCCAGCACATCCCAATGGGGAGGGGGAAACTGAGGCCCTGGAGGTTTGGAGGCCAGCAATGGGAGGGTGGGAAGGACACTGCAGGAGGAGTAGGGAGATCCAGCCTTGAATCTGCCTCCACTGCTCATGGGCTGGGTGGTCTCTGGCAAGTGGCTTCCTTATTTGGAGCCTCAGTTTCCTGATCTGAAAAATGGGGCCACAAGTCCTCTCTTGCCTGTACATGGGTCCTTTGTGGGTGTGCTGGTGTCTG